ACTACTGATATGAATGAAGTAATTTTCAAATTCCTTTTTTGAAGTGAATATTGATATTCGGAATATATTCCTCACGCATGCATCTTTAATTGAATCTTCGTGTTTTTGTATTTATTCCTCATGAGTTTATCTTCAATTAGCTTTTAATTATCATCTTTAGTTCAATTTTTGCCATTGTGCCATGTTGCTTCAAATTCTTCTTGCATATATGGACTGTTTGGTATATATTCATTCATCAAACTTACCAAGTTTTTCTCGCAACCTAAGTTATTTTAGTGTATATTTTAGCCTGTACAGTGCCGCTTTTTTCTGGGGTCTTTTTTTGTCAGGAGTCGGGGAGCGACTCAGTGACCTACTGAAATACTATGTTTTTTTGCTCGACTCTTTGAGGTTCCTAGCTGCCGCCGTTGCTTCTTGCTTTCACAGACTTCAGCTTTCACAGATCTGATGTTACGTCTTAAAGACTGTTGAACAATTATAAGAAATATTCTAGTTTAGAATGATTTATTTTGACAATTGTTTCTTCGTTTTGCTTGTACAGGCAAGGAAAAAGATGTTTGTGACGTTGGATGATTTTTAGTAAAAATATTGTATAAATGCATTGATAATTGCAGGTATGGTTGGTTATGTGATATATGCGGGTATGATTTTTTTATAAATATGCATTAATAATATACAGGAAAGACACGAGGCACAGTCACAAAAGAAAAACCTATAAATAAGTTATGTTTAGTTATTACTGCCATTCATTTCAACAGAAAATTTTACCGTGTTTGAAAATTTCCGAATATTTTCAAGGATAAATGTGTAATAAAAAAATTAACTCGCGGGAAAATTACATTTACAAATGGCTCTTATTTGTCTTAAGATTTTTCCTATCTTGACGTATTCTCCATGAGTGATGAGTATGAGAGTGAATTTTTATACCACCTTTGTATTCATATTCTAGTAGACACTGCATGGCTGGGAAAAAATAAAAGTCTACTGTCTGATTCATCAAAATCATCTCGATTCAAAAACTGCTGTTTTGTTGAGCCCCATCCACCGAAATTATTAAAAATTTGTTTTAAAATATACCCTTAATTCAATCTAGAACTAATGAGTATTTTAACATGCTAATGAATATAATTGCTGATGTCTCATCAGGGAATACTTCCAACATTGTACAAATTACCGGGGTCCTATCTCAAATTAACGTGTTCAACAAACACCGCTTTCTAAAGCAAAGACACAATGAAGACTCATGTGGAGTAGCTGTATCGTTGTCATTTATAATATATTAGTTATTCTTTATAATTTATTACGATAGAGAGATAGCAATTAGGCTCATACTCTGTCTCATCCGCGTCTGTGGTTTATGGCTTAGCGTTGCCCAACATAGACTGACAAATAAATCTTGAAATTATGTGGTACCAAGAGAGAGTAAGTACCCACATTTAGCATGCAAATGCTTGCATTAACGTCGAGTTTAAGATGATAATCCGAGAGCTAGATGGATTTGGTCGGCATTTTATATACCTAGTAGCTAAATTATTCGACCCACATTTAGCATGCAAGTGCTTGCATTAACATAAAGTTTATGATGATAATCCGAGAGATAGATGAATTTGGTCGGCATTTTAGTAGCTAAATTATTCGCTGAATGGCGTTAGAGGAGCGGCACTGCGCTTGCATGAGGTTAGTTAGACGGAGAAAGCTGGTCCGGGTTTGCGACGTCTCGGCTAGACGTGCGCCACTAAAATCGGTGTCACTCAAGCGGCCGGCGCTGCGTGGAAGAAGGTCATGAGACGTAACAACCTCCTGGGCCTGTACTTTTTAAAAAAATTATAAAGATAATTTAAAAAAATTAAAAAGAGATTGTAAGTTCATCAGTCAATCATTGACGGCCTTTCAAGCAAAATCCAGCAATCATAGACAAGAAAATAGAGCGTAAGTACTTACGTTTACTTAGCGAGTTTTGAAAGTACAGCTGAACTGCGGCATACTGATCCTTTTATATCTTAGTTTTATCATCAAATGAAGAGATAAATATTTTTCTGAGGCATAAATCTCAGAGTTGCTCAACGGTTAAGATCATCAAGATTGTAGCTGCGAGTTGGGGGTTCGAAGTTCACAACTGGTTGTAAGATTGATCAGCTCCTGAACTGCTGCTTCCTGATCCTTTTTTTATTGGATCATCCAATAAAGCATTAAACATTTTTCTCAGATATAAATCTAGGATTGGCCGATTGGTTAAAATCATCTAGATTTTAGCAGCGCGTCGAGGGTTCGAAACCCGCTACTAGCTGCGAAAAATTTTGGTCTACATTGTCCGGGTGGAGTGAAAATTGGACAAATTTACATACTGTAAACGGTTATACTTTTTGTATATACGAGCTTCTGCAAACGCCCAACTTCGCACTAAGTGATATAAATAACTACATCATTCGGGTCAACGATGGTATTCTTCAATGTAAACTTTGGATGAGAATTTTTTCCGTTGGAAGCAATGCAAATAACTTAGAATATCTCTCGCCAGGGTACAGCGGTCACTGTACTCCCAGCTATGTAGGGATGGGCAGATGCTCGAAGCTTCCTTGCAAGTATGCCAGCCATGTAACCTGCCAGAACCACTCCTAACATTTGACTTTGAAAACCACTCCTAATTAACAAACATTTGACACTGAAATAACGTTGATTAAAAGTTGTTTCAACGAAATCAACTCGTAATCAACGTCAAGTGCCAATAGCACTGGCGGTCTCTGGTTCAATGCATTTGTGGCGCTACTTTTTTTAACAAAATCAACATATCGCAATACGAGATCTGGTGATCAGTAACGATTCCAAATTACGTTGCACTCAAATTACTTGATTGGAACTGTCCATATGAATCGTACACTACGCTATTTTACCTCATGATTTATCGTACGTTTGCTATTTTACAGCACGATTTACCGTACGTTTGCTATTTTACAGCACGATTTACCGTACGTTTGCTATTTTACAGCGCGATTTACCGTACGTTTGATTTACCGTACGTTTGTTATTTTGCAGCGAGAATTTATCTTATGCTATTTTACATTGCGATTAACCGTACGTTTGCTATTTTACAGGGTGATTTACCGTACGTTTGCTATTTTACAGAGCGATTTACCGTACGTTTGCTATTTTACAGCGATAATTTACCTTATGCTATTTCACAGCGCGATTTACCGTACGTTTGTTATTTTACAGCGCGATTTACCGTATGTTTGCTTTTTACAGCGCGATTTACCGTACGTCTTTCATCACTTCCAACAAGGTCGTCCAGTCTGATTTTTTTAGCCAAGGCTTTGCATTGAGTGAACAACTCAGTGCCCGATACCTGGTAACTTCGTACATACTCAGGGAAATTAGTGACACTTTGCCCAAATAAAGATGATCATTTACCATTCTGACCCAGCTTGGCCCGGTAAAAAAAAGGCTACTTTTTTCTCGGCATGAAATTCTTTCTCGCACTGCATAAGAGCCTGAATAACGGTAACTAATATAACTAATATAACGTAAAAATAATAATTTTATCTTATACTGCGCATGGTTAGAGGTGAGGTATATCAAGAATTATTGAACCTCCATACGACGCCAGCTTTTTTGGAGAATGAACTTCTATCATTTCGCAATGTGTTTTGAACACCGAGCAAATGCTAAAATCTTGCCTATTTCAGCAACCGCTTTACTTTCGTTAGAAATTTGTCGTTTTGATTGAAATTTGTGGACTTTAATTGTTTTGAAATTAAGTGAGGAAACTTCTCCGTTAGAAATAATATTTTTATCCTTTAAAGCAACATTCGAATTTTCTTAATTTTAGTTAAATTAGAATAAGTTCAAGTTTAGTTTTAACCTCAATTTATTGCATGGCTTGCAAGATGGCTGCCGGTTCCTTATGAGAAGTAGAGTTGGGGGAGAGTAAAATATAGAGAGAGAAGAAAAAAATAGAGAGAAGAAAAACTGTAGAGAGCGAGAGAGAGAGAAACATTGCATCTATAGGCCTAAAACTGGCGTAGGCTGGTTTGCTGGACCACCCAAGAGGCTTCTTGTGTCTTGACGCATTCTCGCCGTGCTGCTGTACTGTGGAGCCTTCATATTGTCAGTTGTGCTTAATTTTGTAATTTTGTTCAAAATACTTCTACCCTATCTTGTTTGTTTTCAATGGATTTGTGTGAAACTAATCTAGTCTGAAACTAATCTAATCTAATCTCTCAAGTCTCAACTAATCTCTGAAATTTCCTCAGTGCAGGCATTTGATTGATATTTTTCCGAGCACATCACAAGCATCTTGATAATTATATCACTTCATTCACTGCCAAACCACCTTAATTTTCAAGCATTTATGCCTTCACGCTACCATCATTACCCACACCGTCACCACCATGGTGACAGTTAACCATCACCACCATGGTGACAGTTAACCATCACCACCATGGCTGTCTCTTATACACATCTAGATGTGTATAAGAGACAGGGGTTATAGCTGAGGTTATGAAGGGTTATAGCTGAGGTTATGAAGGGTTATTGCTGAGGTTATGAAGGGTTATTGCTGAGGTTATGAAAGGTTATAGCTGAGGTTATGAAAGGTTATTGCCGAGGTTATGAATAATTATTTCTGATCTACCTTAACCTTAATGAACTTGGGTTAATTATGAACACTTTGGAAAGTTATTATAATAAGTATTGAATAGATTTCAGCATAGCTCCCTACATTGTTCTCTCAGTCGCTATAGGCAACATGCTTCTCTGTCTAACATCTTAACCGCAGTCGGTGTCCGAATTTCGGATGAGAAACATTAGTTGCCACATCAGTATTTCTTGCAGTGGTTGCCTACAGTAGCGTGGTCTGAAGAAAAGTAACTAAGAACGTTCTATGAAGTGATTATTTGCATTATTTTTATTAGAGTTTTTACAGCGATGTTTGTCTTGCGAATTGTATTGATTTATACTTTGTATTGATGTATACCTTGTGTTGATGCGTACTTTGTTTACAGGTAGACCGTGCGGAGGCCGGCTTGTCTGATGGTTCGTGGATTGCATCAAGACTTCAGCTTCCGCGAAGTCCGTCAAGTCTTTTATCTGCATCAAGACTTCAGCTGCCGCGAAGTCCATCAAGTCTTTTATCTGCATCTAGACTTCAGCTTCCGCGAAGTCCATCAAGTCTTTTATCTGCATCAAGACTTCAGCTTCCGCGAAGTCCGTCAAGTCTTTTATCTGCATCAAGGCATCAAGACTTCAGCTGCCGCGAAGTCCATCAAGTCTCTTCATTTCATCAAGACTATGGATATGACTTGCCATCTTAGCTCACCAGCCTCAGTCTTTATATACGAGTATAACAAAGTCATATATAATCAACTATTCTTATTGAAAAATCTTATCTTGAAGAAAGCTTAAAGTTTATTTCCTTGAACGCTTGAAAAACTACATGATTATTCAATTGTTTGTACGTTATTGAATTAGTTAATCGTTTGCATACGTTTCTTTTTAAGTTAATACATGTCATTCACTGAGACTTTTTATGTTGACATCGAAGACTCAATTCATATTTTTATTTATATGTAAGACTCAGTATTTTTCTTAATTATGTGGCGAATTTAACCTTTATGAGATTATTTAGCTTAACTCATTTGTTATCCTCATGTGAGTTGAACTTTTCGGATAGGCGCAATTGTGGCTTCTATACACTCAGAGAAATGTGCAATACTTTGTCTAAATAGCGATTCACCTTTTGCCCTAATGTGGATCGTCCTTACTAAGTTTCATGCAGAAAAAAGCCGTAACAGTGTTACACACAAAAAGGTGTCACTATTTTTGTTAAAATGATCCTTACATTTTTCACCGTATATAGGTAGTGTTTTATAATTTCCATAGTGTTTATATAATTGAAAAAAAATGATTCAGTAATGACAATTCACATATTATTTATAATTGTTGCATAAAGCTTCTCACGATGAAACATACATACATGCACTGGATTTTTAATGAACGAAACCAAAGTCTCTCTCAGTTTAAAATACAGTTGAAAATAGTGGTGTTTTAAAGCTATAAATTCATAGTTCACTCGTACAAATGAGTGAGATCTGTCCAAATACTGATGCACTTTCTTGATCTTGTGTGAGTGCAGCTGAAATCATCCTAATCAATTTTAGCTCGGAAAAAGTAGCAGAAAGTGTGTCAATGTTTGGACAACATGACACATTCATTTATGTGAGAGTAGTTGCTTCTATTAAAGCCTTAATTTTCATGCATAGTTCTTCAAAAGTCGCGTCTTGTTTACAGTGTAGGTTTTAGAAGAGAATACGGTTATCAGTAATAACCTTAATTATTGATTAAGATTAATAGTTCTTTAATTGTAAATAGTTTTTGATTTAAAGCAGAATGCGACTCACATGTGTAGATTTAACCTGGAAATTGTTGTTGCATATCTGATAAGAAACATGGCTAGCTTTTAAAAAATTTAACTCTACGCGCGGAGAAAAGAGCGAGAGTTGTCCAAGTATCGATATTTTTTTGTCATTGTGTTGGTCATTTGGGTACCAGCTACTTGTAGAAAGTGTAGCACTATTTGGACAATATGATCCGTTTTTTTCTGAGTATAGGCTGTCTGGCAATAAGTGGAACTTTAAGGAAGATTTTTAACAATGAAAGTTTTGAGTGTCGCATTGTATCTTTATTTCATGTTTCGCCGTTCAGGTCGGCATTTTCGACAATTTTATAGAAGTTTCCGCCCTTATTTCCTAAATATTTTATTTTTGCTACAAATTTAAATGTATTTATCGGAGAAGCAGAAAATGGCCTCATGTTTATTTCTACTTCATCAAGTTAAGGAAGGTTTCGCGTTGACTTTTTGTGAATAGGAGACTATAAGTTGAGTAAATGTGTCTGGTTAACTCTAAATTTGTCTGGTTAAGAGATCGTCAATTGGCAATAATTTGCGGCCAATGTTCAAGAGGTTTGGACACTTGATGTGTCTGTGACACCAGCCCACTTACCCACTCACTTGGGCATAGTGGCCCACAGTTCAGAGTACCAAGATTGGAGCAGTGAGTTGTGGGTTTGATCCCAGCTACCTGCTAAAGTTCTGTTCGAGGCCGGATGGTTAAGCAGAGCAGAATTGAGGCAGTGAGTTGCGTGTTCGAGAAGGCAACAAGTTGTTAATTATGTTGTGCGATGTTAAAAATCGGCGACATAATCAACCTTGACACCGCTCTTTACTTCGCCACCACTTATGTCATTCGTTGATTTACTTTAGAAAATTTTGTTTTTATTCAGGCTTTGCTTAGAAACTCGTTTCTCGTTGACCGTTTCAGGATTTATTGAATATACCATATGATTTAGCTCATACGCAATGCTCATTCTATTGTATGTGTAAAAAGCAATAACCTGTAGAAGAGGAAGATGGTGAGCCGGAACTGTGTTGTGTTGGAAGTTTGATGGTGAGCCGGAATGTAGCTCATAAGAAGTTTGCAGCATTTGATGTGTAAATAGTGTAGTTATACATGCTATTCTTACTCATACCATGTAATCCATTGAATAATTGAATCTATGGACGCTTTCCGAGCGAAAAATGCCTATTATTAATTCCTTAATACTGAAAATGCATAATGAATACTGATGACATAGAAACAAAAAGTAATAAAAGCAAATGGATTGAAATAAAATAAGATTGCATCGGAAACCAAAATTGTAATGCGCCAGTAACGAACTCAGATTCGGAATTTATTTTGAGGTTTAAAATCTTTGGCCGGAATTTTCCCCTTGCATTTCATTGCTCTGGCAAGAAATGTCCCATATTTGACGTTGTAGATATACCAATATTGAGAGGTATGAGGGTTTCTTACTTCACTATTTTTTATTTACTTCGTCTTCCTTGTTCATTTAGTTGCCAAAAACAATTTGGATTTGCGAGAAGCAATAAAATTATATTTGTGAACTTAAATTCAAGGCAGTGAAGTTATATGGCCCGTTGAATAGTTAAAACGAACTGCCTCATCCTGCAAATCCTAGTTACTAGTGATTAACGAAGCAAAAAATAGAACGTAGGGTAGAAGAAACACTGAATTTCAGAAATTTATTTTAAAAAATCTGTGAAAGATAATAAATATCTCTATATTACGCAGCAGAACCTTTAACAACTACATAAAACGACGAATACAAATCATTTCATTATTTCATGCTCCGTCCATCAACTTTCAAGAATCACACTACGTGGGATGTGATGAATGAGAAAAGATATTAAATGTTTTACAATACTAGTACAATGCCCAGACGTCACTCGAAATAGATGTCCTGAGCTAAGGGCAGGTCCTTGGTGTAGTTGATGGTACAGGCATCACTCAAACTTGATGCCCTGAGCTAAGGGCAGGTCCTTGGTGTAGTTGATGGTACAGGCATCACTCAAACTTGATGCCCTGAGCTAAGGGCAGGTCCTTGGTGTAGTTTATGGTACAGGCATCACTCAAACTTGATGCCCTGAGCTAAGGGCAGGTCCTTGGTGTAGTTGATGGTACAGGCATCACTCAAACTTGATGCCCTGAGCTAAGGGCNCTAAGAGAAGGTTTTCGGGCCCAGCCACTGCAAAAAATTATTATTTCTAAGAGATCTAAGAGTAGGTTTTCGGGCCCAGCCACTGCAAAAAATTATTTCTAATAGATCTAAGAGAAGCTTTTCGGGCCCAGACACTGTAAAAAATAAATATTTCTAAGAGAAATCTAAGAGAATATTTTCGGGCTCAGCAACTGTAAAAAATTATTTCTAAGAGAAATTTAAGAGAAGCCTTTCGAGCCCAGCTATTGCAAAAAAAAAAGTTTTTTTTTTCTTTAGAAAGAAAATAGGAGACGTTCGATCGCAGTAACTCTGAAACACATAAGGTTATTTTTCAAGATGAATATAATTGAGCCTTTTAGGCCCAGCCACTGGAAAAATCATGGGATATTTTATATTATAAATGACATGAAATAAAGAGGGACCTTGAAACTAGTGTTACATTGAAAATGAGACCCAGAATTAACATTACACTCCCTCCTAGCAAATGACGTTGAAACAACGTTGTTTACGATTTGAAGTCGTTGAAACAACACTTATAAAATTAGACACTACGTTAATTACATGTTCATTTCGTCTAAGTAACGTTTCTGCAACGTTATTTCAACATTAGATGCCGGTATGGAGTTAATCACTACGCAGACAAATGACGTTGAAACAACGATAGTTGACGTTGAAGCATTGTTTAGTATTCAACGTTATTTCGACGTTTCATGCCGTTTAAACGTTTATTAACGTCAGTTCAACATCACTAGGTAGAGACCTGGAAGACGTTGCCCAGGTTCTGCGTGAAGAGTGACGATGAGAGCCCCTGTTCCACTTCGTTGTTCCAGACGATGGCGTCGTCTAGGGACGGACAACTGACGAGGTAGACGATGGGGGCGAAGGTCTCCCTGTGGACGATGGGGGAGTCATGGGGCAGACCCGTGACGATGGTGGGCTCCACGTAGTAGCCTCGTCTGTCCATGCGACGACCTCCGATCTCGATTTTGCCTGACGTGCAATGCAAGACTTCGTTCATGAATATGCAAATGAATGGCAAACTTCAACTGTAAACTGAGACGTAGTCTAATATTTTGGTAAATCACATTTAAATTGAACTAAGAAGATGTGGCACAGTTGATACTTCTCCACCAACGCTGCACAGTCTGCACAGCACTGACCACCCAGCTCCTGCACAGTCTGCACAGCCCTCACCCCCCAGCTCCTGCACAGTCTGCACAGCACTCACCCCCCAGCTCCTGCACAGTCTGCACAGCCTCACCCCCCAGCTCCTGCACAGTCTGCACAGCCCTCACTCCCCAGCTCCTGCACAGTCTGCACAGCCCTCACCCCCCAGCTCCTGCACAGTCTGCACAGCCCTCACTCCCCAGCTCCTGCACAGTCTGCACAGCCCTCACCCCCCAGCTCCTGCACAGTCTGCACAGCACTCACCCCCCAGCTCCTGCACAGTCTGCACAGCACTCACCCCCCAGCTCCTGCACAGTCTGCACAGCACTCACCCCCCAGCTCCTGCACAGTCTGCNGCACACATCACACTCAGCGTACACTGTGGTGCACAATAAGCCTGCGGGTTGTGGTGCAGCACACATCACACTCAACGTACACTGTGGTGCACAATGAGCCTGCGGGTTGTGGTGCAGCACACATCACACTCAGCGTACACTGTGGTGCACAATAAGCCTGCGGGTTGTGGTGCAGCACACATCACACTCAGCGTACTGTGGTGCAGCACACATCACACTCAACGTACACTGTGGTGCACAATAAGCCTGCGGGTTGTGGTGCAGCGCTGTCCCGCGGTGCCGGCGCAGGCGAAGAGCGTCGCGCGGACCACCATGTCCACGTCCGCGTCCCGGTCCACCAGGATCGCGTTATTACCGCCCAGCTCCAGGATGTGGCGGCCGAACCGCTCCTGAACCGTCACCCCCACCTGGGGGGGAGTGAACCATGTCAGTAAGGAAGGGGGATGTGGCGCCCGAACCGCTCCTGAACCGTCACCCCCACCTGGGGGGAAGTGAACCATGTCAGTAAAGAGGGGGGATGTGGTAGCCGAACCGCTCCTGAACCGTCACCCCCACCTGGGTGGGAAGTGAACCACGTCAGTAAAGAGGGGGGATGTGGCGGCCGAACCGCTCCTGAACCGTCACCCCCACCTGGGGGGGAGGGGGTGAACCACGTCACTAAGGAGGGGGGGATGTTGCGGCCGAATGGTTCTCCTGAACCGTCACCCCCAACAAAATGCGAAATTATATCTAAAAATTATATATAAATTACACATATTTGGTTAAAAATAATGCCAGTTTTATTGACGACATCTTTCGAGTTTAATCTCTCAAGCTTTCTGATAAGAGGTAGAGAAGCGGGCCGGGCCGCCGCCCGCCCGTACAGTAATAGGGTCAATAAGTCTTAAAATTTATCCAAATGGAGGGTTAGGTAACCAAACATGTTTAAATAAAGGGCTCTACCCTAAATATACAAATTATACATAGCGAAGAAATGTTACTTATAATATATCGTTGGCAACCCCCATGATTGCTGTAATTATATGGCAAATATCGATATGGCTGTTGAAGGACCTGTTTGCCGATGGCGGTGCTGCCGGTGAAGGACACTAGAGGGATCCTCTTGTCCCTGGCGATGGCGGCGCCCACATCAGCGCCCCCACAACACAGCGCCGCCACCGCCCCCGGGACGCCGTTGCGGGTGAGAACCTCCCCCACCACGCGGGTGGTCGCTACCGACACCAGCGGGGTGCTGGGGGCGCCCTTCCAGACGGAGGTGTTGCCGCACACCTGCGGGGAGGGAGGTGGGGTGTGGGGGTGGGGGTGCTGGTGGTTGGAGGAGTGTGTTATAGAGGGTGATGTTATATGTGATGAGGGTGATATAATATGTAATAACGGTAATGTAATATGTAATAATGATAATACAATATCTAATAAAGGTAATATAGTATGTGCTAGAGGGCAATATGCAGTTTAAAAAGAAGCAGACTCTACCCTCAACTCTCAACTAACGAAAGTCGAGGCCGTGCGCATACAAGGATGATCAGGGCATTTTATTTAACCAATCAACATTTCCAGTATTTCAACCCTTCCATTCCCTCAACCCCTGCCGCTGTCTTTTCAACCCCTCAAACCCCCTCTTCCCCACCATTCATGGCAACCCTTCTGTCGACTCATTTTCAACCTTTCCACTTCCTTAACCCTTGTGCGTTAACCCTTGTGTGTTAACCCCTTAACCCCTAACCCTTTCCACTTCCTTAACCCATAAACCCCCAATTGGCAAATTGGGGTTAAATAAACGTAAACCCCCACATAACCTTTGTGCTATTTAACCCATAAAATCCTAATTGTTAAATTGGGGTTTAAATAAATGTAACCCCCCCAAAAACCTTTGTGCTATTTAAGGGGACCGACTACCCTCCGGAAAAACTTCCACAGTTATTATCCGATCATCATGAAACTTAAAATACATACGTAAAGTGTAAAAAAATAAAAATATTTTCTATGAATTTTTCGAAAAAATTGATAGAAAACGAGAAATTCATAGAAAATGGCTAAAAAGGGGTATTTTAGAAAATCTATCTCCTACAAGTATCATCCTACAACATCGAGACACGTATCAGTTTGTAAAGACCATCCCTATCGATTTGAGGAGCACTTTTCTTATTTTCCCCTTAGTTTTTTTATGCGCGTTTTTCCCATTTTTCCTGTACCATTGGAAAGAGCAGAATTTCAGCTTTAAGATGAGCTCAAAAACCGGAAAACGCCAAAATTGAAAATTTTAGGGTAGTCGGTCCCCTTAACCCCAAACCCCTACTTCCACACCAACCATAGCAATGGCGCTGTTCCAACCGAAGACGGCAATGGGGAAGTTAAAGGCGCTGATGATCCCAATGACCCCCATGGGGTTGTACAGCTCCATGAGTGCATGGCCGGGGCGCTCCGAGGGGAACACAGAACCCCCGAGGGTCCTAGATAACCCCACGGCGTAGTCGCAGATGTCTACGTACTCCTGCACCTCCCCAATCCCCTCGGGGAGAATCTTGCCTGCGCGAGGGAGGATATATCCTATATGTCAGGAAAGGATTTACTGGGAATATGGGATTTACAGACGCGATGTAAGTTATGTCGGAAAAGGATTTGCCGAAAACAATTTGGTTTACGTCCGCAAGGTCGGATGCGTTAGAAAATACTGAAAACAATGGATTTGCAAGCGCTATGCAGGCTTGGATATAACGGATATTCTCTCAAATCCGACAGGTGAGACCATAACCAAATTTATATTCCATAGTAAATTATGGAGAATACCTACAAAAATATAAAATAAATTAACCATCTATACTCACAACATTGTGTCGCTAACAAGTAACTTCTTCTATTCCTCAACATGTCCACTCACTCACCATCACCCACCACCATCTAACCCACCCATCACCTCCACCCCCACCATATTGTCATTATCCACCTTTCACAGTTATTATACCTTCATCCCATCCTTGCATTTTACGCCTCCCACTTACCCACTGCTTTTGTTGATGTTTTTTACCGCCAGAATAATTTATGTGTTAGTACTTTGTAATGTTACAGTAATTGTACGTGTGACTAGATCGTCCTCCACCTTATTCCCTCCCAAATCTCTCCCCCCATCCCACCACCCATCTACCCCGGCCCAAAACACCCTTCAAGGGCCACCAGTTTGCCGAGGGGCGTGAGCTTGGCCCTCAGGGCGTCCCCGATCTGCCGGACGATCTCCCCACGTCGGGGGGCCGGGATGTCGGCCCACACCTGTTTAATATTATAACATTAGTATTATTATCAATATTATTATAATCATTATAATTATTGTTAATATTATAAAATTATTTATTTAAAAAGAAAAATTTATTCACAATCAAAGAAAAATTACTGGGTCATGTTGTCCATGTGGTCCGGACATAGGCTAACTGGGTCAGGATGACCCAGTTAGCTTATGCGCAAAAAGTGCATCGCTATTTAGACACAGTTTACCACTCATTTCTTGGAGTGCAGTATTTCGTTATATCGAGAAATTATATCATATCAATATATTTATGCTTAAATTAAAAGAATGAAAAATTGTTCGCAAAATAAGAGTAACATTAGACAAAAGTCTTCAAAATGAACCGTAAGTAAAGGCTCAATATATTTTATAAATTCAACCAGTGGCCCCCAAATGAATTATTTAAATAGCGTGGCAAACATAAAATAAAGAAAAAAAACGACAGAATTTCAAATAAAAATAAAATAAATTAAATGAATTAGATGTTACAATATACAGCACCTGCCATGCCTCCTGGGCAGCAGTCACGGCCGCATCATAGTCGGCCAGATTGCCCTGCACCACGCGCGCTATTGGCCGCTCATTGGCCGGACATAATGACGTCACCGACTGTCACGAAAATATATGAATATTTTTAAAAATAATATTAATAAGGTTCAACAACAGAATGAAGCAATAATATTTGTAAATGTAATTATAATGAGATTTAACATTAAAATGGCATCAAATTTTCTAAATGAAACAATAAGGAAGTTCGAAAGCACTAAAAAAACATTAATCTTGTTAAATATAATTATTAAGATCATTTATCTGGACAAACTGGGTCTAGATGACCCACTCAAGCGCAAAAAGTGCATCGCTATTTAGACAGAGTCAGGCACATTTCTCTTAACTTCATCCAAATTGTTTCTAAAAAAAAATTTCGCTTATAAATCAATAGTAACTAGCTTTGGTACAAATTAATATCAATAATTACATGTTCAGAGGCTTTTTCTTAATTTTTGGCGTTGAAATTTGAACCGCATGCCTTTAAATATTGAATTTTTATAATTTTATTCAATTGAATTATATTTTCTATAGAAATATGGAGTCTTGAAACTATATATTCATAGGAGGTGAACGATGGCACATCGTAATATAGTCGGGCGTCGTAGAGACCAGTTCGGCTCCATCAGTGCGACCAGATTAAACGTAGGCTAAAAGGCACAAAAAACCTATCGTCTTGGACTGCAACCGGTTCACCCCCCGCATCACAATACCGGTTCACCCCCATCACAATACCAGTTTACTCCCCGCTTCACAATAATGGTTCACTCCCCGTATCACAATACCGGTTCACCCTCAATATACAAGCCTCACTATCTACTTCGTTAGTAGTGAACCGGATAAATTTAGTTACTGATGTCACTATGGCCCGGTTTATTAGTTATTTCGTCTTTGAATTTGTTATGCTCATAGAGTGAGAATGCGAAAATTTCAGTGAAGATGACACTCGATGTTGTAGTGTTAGCCATTTTTGCGAGATTTATTTGTAATAAAATTATAATTTACCTCTACCTTGGCAACACCGTTAGAAGTTAACGTCGCGCACACAATTTTTTTGTTGATCATTATCGTTCGGCTGATCCCCGCTGCAAGTTAGTTTAAGCTCTAATAGGTTGCTTGTTATCATTAGAATAATTGTTATATTGTATTATTTCTGTATTCATCTTCAACGACGATCATTTATTAATTATTAGATTTACTCTTCAACAGATACGCACGTTGCCAAGGGTATTATTATTTACACTTTTTTTTCCATCGCTTGATATTTAAATCCGAAGCGCACCGTGTTATTCATTTCCACTGCATTAAAATCTCAGTTCCAGTCTCTTTCATTTTCAATCCTGTCGTTTTACTGTGTGGGTAATGACTGGCTCTTACCCCACAATGTGTTCAAAATTTCCATCTTTAGCGATGATGATAATAGTTGAATTCATTGAAGTAAATACAATAATATTTTATTTTTACTGACGATTGCTGTTGTAAAAACGTTTTAGAATGAAATCTATTCATTTTTATGTTCGATTCATTGTTCATGGTGAAACATGGTTGGGTTGTTGTGTCTACACAACTTAACCCTACAACTACGGTAGGGTTAAAATTTAAAATCCCTGCCTACACTACAACTGCCCTGCCTACACAACGCCTCAGCACATTACGTATCGTAGATGAAAACTAGAAACTTCCATATACCTCAAACAGGCTGTTTTCCGAGTTAACGACGTGATATGTAAGTTTTAACGTTCAAATCATCTTTCCCCCTTTCAAATACTCTTATTTTCAACAAGGTTGAAGATTCATAATTTCGAAGTAATGTTCAACTTATTTTCGGAACATGCGTAATTAACAGGTATATCTAGGTTGACTACAACGAATGAAATGCATGTGAACATAAAATCCGTCGATGGTTCGTCATAATTTAAAATATTACGGGAAAGATAATTTGGGATTAAATGTCAATGAGAATTTACACCCTTCTTACTTGAACCTTCTTTACTTAGAGCCGCACAGTCGGAATATTGTACTTATTAGTCATTATTCATAATGTAAAGCAGTTAGCGACGAGGAGTATATATTATAAACCTAGCCAGCATCACGTTTTAGAAACATACCTGAATCTTGATACCGGTTTGCTTCGATAACTACGTACTTATTTGTGCTTATATTACGAGATCTTACCTCTCCATTGCCAAACCAAGTGCCGTTGTAAACGCCTTTATTTTCTTCCTGAAGACCTAGCTCCTTCAGAAAAGAATATTTAGGGTCATTTATTAGATAATCCGCGGAACTCATGGCTCTAATCGAAGAGCGATGCACAATTTTAACTCGCAGCGCCCGGCACACAGCTGCCACTGGCACGAGTGACGCTAACATGGCTGAGGCCAGCGAACTACTAAATGGCGACACCAGAGGGCGGGCACATAGCATCAAGTTCAGCCTGAAAACTAGAGCTAAAAAAAAAAAGTTCAAGATCCACTTGCCAGTTATGGCTTAGCTGTAGCCTCGAGGAGATTTATTTGTCGTTAAACTAACTGTCGTGAATTTTGTGCTGTAGTGTTCATATGTACACAGTATTTCGTACCGTATTCCATACCAGTAAGTTACTTTGTTCGAGAACCAATGTCCATCGTCAGAACTGGCTTGGCTCTCTCACTATTAAGATATTTTAACTGCGGTTCCCATTCTCTGTAAGAATTTTGTAATGTTTTGTTTCACGTGTATTACTTTGCATTTGGATACCTATATATTTGAATTAATGTCGTTCTATTACATATTGTATATTAGTGTTATTTTGTTTCAGAATGTTGCGTTCTTGTTGATTAAAGCTCTACATGAGTCCCCTCGCTTCTCACTTACAACACTAACTTTGATTTGATTTAAAGCTACATTGCAATGAGGATGGCGCAACTTGAGACTAACAGCACAACGAAATGCATGGCACTTATAACATGCTTTTTTCCAGGGGCTAAATGAGTTCTTTCTGGATAAGGAATATAAATATCTTTAATTATATTTCCACGCACAACTCTGTCGATTCTAAACCAAACAGAATAAAAATGGAAAAAATAATAGCGCTTTGGTATCAGTTGAGGTCGGAATTATGCGATGAGCAGTTAATTTTTTAAAGTCGGCTTCATTTCTATTTTAAGTGCATAATTTGGAACGGTTTTATTGATTTAGGTTAGATAAGTTTATGATAAGTTAAGACATGTTGATAATAAAATGATATTCGTTTGATAACGGCGGTTTATAGAAATTTGAAATATTATATTTATATAGGGAAATATACCTTAATTTAAAGGTCATAAAACTATTTATGATCAACTCCTTTGGACTAGCCAATAGAATAAAAAAAATAATATCACCTTAATATAAAAGCAGCAGTCAATCTTACTCATCAATTCATAAGAATACAATAATAATTCTAATTTGTCCCTTTAGTGCATATTAAATCAGTTTTTTAATAATATATGTAAAAGTTGCAGAGCGTTGACATTTGACAATGCCTGGATTGCTGTACATAGGTGACTTAGTCATCTCTCTTCTTATTTGATGATGTTTACTTCCCAACATTTTAATTTTCCCAGATAAAAAATCGGTTTGACTGTCTAGTCAGTTATATATCATCCGGAATACAACTACCAACAAATGATGAATATTGAAATCCTCTCGAATCGAGTACAATAGAGTTGGTTATTAATAACCTAAGTTTTTCTCGTTGTTTTCGCACCGTGGCTTTGCTGAGGAAAAGACTACTATTTCATGTGCATAAATTGAAAACGAACTAAAATTTTTTTAACTCTCAGGTTGCAGTGATGGATTAACGAAAATGAACAAAATTAAGGTCAAATCACAACTTTTACAATTTTAACCCAGAGCTCCACGTGTTTCCAAATAATTGACTTTATTCCGAATCCGTACCGCCGGAATGCCGGCATTCGATTCCGTTAGCCGATGACATTTGGAATTTGGACGCTGGGGTAGGTGTAGCGTGTAGGAGTCCTTGTCACCGGTCACTAGAGTGACTAGACCCTTGCGTCTCGAAATGAACCGGGACAGACGAAACGAGACGAGAAAATTCTGGGAAAAAAATAACGGGACAGAGGGTAAAATTTGTCGCGGAATAAACGTATAAACCGAGACAAGACTTCTGTCCCGGACTTTAAAACTTGTCACCGTTGAAGACTTGTGTCCCGGTAAATTATGACCAGGGACGAGACAGACAGATTTGGAAACGAGACGAGATTTGTCTTAATTATTTTAGACAAAACAAGTTTTTCGATTACGATACGAATCGTTTCGAAAACATGGGTTGAAGAATGACAAGTTAGCCCTTTATAGTTTATTGCTAATACTAAAGCAAGCATGCTAGTTGCTAGAGCAGGTACAGCAGATGAGCAGAGCGCGGCGGAGCAAAGCATGCTAGAGCAGGTACGTAGAGCAGATGGCGGCAGAGCAAAAATTAGGGTCATACTGCCATAGACAGTTACCAGTTAAATTAAGTTAATAGCAGATTTAGCAAAATTTGTCTGACTGACAATCTGACATGGCAGTTATTTTAGTTATTTAGTGGTCTGACAAACACCGCAAACCTGTGGATGTATGCATGGCTGAGTAGTGAGTATTGAGTCAAAAATGTTACTTATAAGTCTTAACTAAGGCTTTGGCCTTTGATGGCCCTCATGCCATGGGAAATTGGGAACCGTACGAATATGAGTCAAGTTTATTACGCATTCGGAACAAGTTTCGGAGTTCAGGCGCCGTGGAGCGCCTAGGGAGTAGGCTAGGGACGCAGTATCTAGATTAGTCGGCCAATTAGTAGACCACTATGCAGAGGGTGGATGCAGCGTCGGCAATATATGGATTTTTAAGCCCAAAGCGTCGCCGGCCATTTTAAAGATGTGTCGCCGGGTAATTTTTAATGAAAAGCCATTTACGCTGACGCTGAGTAATGACGAACTATTTACAAGCCACGAACTTATTACAAGGTTGCATGCACGTGTTACCCCAAATAACTAATTTCTCCCTAAAAACAGTCCGGTTGTACAGCAAGTGTCAACTGAACAAGTAATAAAGCAGTCTGACTGCTCTAATGCGACCGAAACTACGCAATCGGAAAAATGTTGTTTACATTTTTTGCGGGAACTCATCGCAACTGATTTCCGGACAAGCTTCGCTGCATTGTAATCCATCCAACGTACCAGAAACCTTACTTTTTTTTCTAAATAGTTGGCTGAAGACTGAGAAATATATTAAATGCAAGAATTTCAATCTAAATGTGTCGGCAAGATCTTCTGAAGGCGAAAATTTTGCCGATAATGCGTCGCCGTAGGTCTTTAAATCTTCGTTCACTCTCTGCACAGTGGTTAGTAGACAGTGGAGTGGAGTCCTGGTAAGATATATTCCTAATATTACAAAAGCTAGTATTAGATTATCTCTGGATTCTCTGCCTTTAGTAATTTTGTGCTACGCCTCCAGGAAATCTTCACAATTTCGCAGTTTCCTGAATTGTTATCAAACACTTGGGCTTGTTTAACGTTATTTAGAAAGGATACACATGGATGTTTTGAGTTCTTTTTTGAAGAACAACTATTATATTTTTTCGAACTTAAATTTTGTTGTATTTAATAATGTTGTTGATATATCTTTCCAAACTTTTTTGTTGAAGGAGATTGCTTAAGGCAAGATCGATGAATCTGATTCTGTGATTAAGCTGGAGCCTTGGAGGCAAATCAAAGTCTGTCCAGTCAGCCAATGTCACCAGCTACTGCTAGTATCCACTGTGCAGAGAGTGAACGAAGATTTAAAGACCTACGGCGACGCATTATCGGCAAAATTTTCGCCTTCAGAAGATCTTGCCGACACATTTAGATTGAAATTCTTGCATTTAATATACTTCTCAGTCTTCAGCCAACTATTTAGAAAAAAAAGTAAGGTTTCTGGTACGTTGGATGGATTACGATGCAGCGAAGCTTGTCCGGAAATCAGTTGCGATGAGTTCCCGAAAAAAATGTAAACAACATTTTTTCGATTGCGTTCGCGATTAGAGCTTTCCCGCCATTTTTGGAACCGCAAGTTTACCGCAAGTTTTCATGTCAACCGGAACTCGAACACCACAGCAGAGAGTATTTTATGCAGCTAATGAATTTTGCAAACTTTGCTGGAAGAGAGATTATTGAATTTTAGAAAAAAGCGGGATAATTCAATGAAGGCTGGTGGCAGAGCTGCAATCTTGATACTCTATTGTGATTCGTGCTATGATAACCTACGTAACAATTTTCATGTGATAGTTATAATTTTTGCACATTCAAAGTACACATGACATAACATAATGCACCCAGATTTTGAAACCATTTTTGCTCAAATGAAGCAAAAATAAATGACAGACCATTGACTTATCTTGCAAATATATATATTCATATTATGTATCACATAGCATAATTACGCTTTGTAATTATGCCATATTGACCTAATTTGTATAGTCCATTTACGCGCATTGTTATTAGGTATTGATCGTGTCGATTTTGCCGGCCGGGAGGATGTCGGTAATGTTACTAATGTAGTCCCAACATTGGCATGCAGGATCGTACTGTTGACATACAGGTTCATACCCTACTTGCCGCAACCAGTCCAGTCATTCATTAGAAGGCACCGATGGCACATCTAAAGCCATGTTGCCTTCTTTAGTTCTGTAATTCATGTCCGATTGAATTGTGATCTATGAATGAATATTCATTACTGTGCTGACTCTTAGAACCTGAGTCCTGAGTTGACGCGTTAGCAATCTAGTTAACTCGTATCCAACCACAACACAGTGCGGATACACGTGTACGGTCAGTGTGATTACGTAATTTGCATTGCCGCGCGTCCATATTTAAACTATTTTAGCTTTCTAAAAGTACGGCGCTGTCGGCGCACAGCGCATTTTTTTTTACCGGCATAGTACGGCGCACCGCGCAGGTCGTTAAAATGACAATATAAATTCCCGCGCACCTGGCACATCTTCCTGACCATGGGCTACATGTAGCGGTCGCTACATTTTTGGTAGTGGTAGCGGCGCTACATTTAAGCAATTGTAGCGGTAGCATCCGCTACATTTAGAGCATGTAGCGGTAGTGGCCACTACATTTCAAAGTAGCGCTGTCCAGCTCTGTATAAATGTATGATGGTAAGCCAAAGTTTACACCACTTCAATAATTGATTAGTCTTGTTAAAATGGCTATAAATTCCGGGAAATTTTAAGGTACCTATTTTAACCAGGATGTCTCGTCTTGGTATTGTCCAGGAATTCCAACAGAGGGCTGAAAATTGTCCTGATTTTTATTGCAAACCAGGACAGAGCCTGTTGTCTCGTCTTGTCTCGGATAAAAAAAAAACCAAATGCAGGAGTCTACTGGTCACCTGTCATTAAAAGTGTAGAAATGAAAAATCCTTTCTTTCTTTCTCAACTAAAAATTTTGGGGAAAAAATGCAAAAGTGGATAAAAAAATATCAACCATCATTTCTAGAATTCCATCCATGATCCTATTCCTGGACTCCTCAGTACTGTCCTGGTGTGAAATTATGTAGGCTAGGTAGTGAAAATTTTATTATCTGAATTAAAACTTTTATTTAAATACTTATTTTTCAATTTTTTTGCATGATAGAGGATGATACTATGTATAGAAATAGAATGATGGTTTGTCACAATGACAGTGACAGTCATGTCAGAAAATTTGCAATTGGCAGAGGCATGATAATGTAGTGGCCCTCAGGCTCAAAGCTCAAACTGTGGGGGGGTAGTGGAGGCCACCCAGCCGTGGTGGGTCTTATTTGCTTTCGGAGGGGATGTAAAGTGAATGAAGTGATCATATACACTTATACAGTAACAAAGTACCTAACTTGCCTTTTAAAGGGATATCAACTGAAAGTTATGAAAATTGGCAAATTTAGGGTAAACACAGTATATTCCAACACTGTGGGTAATTCCTACACTTCTCATATATAAACTTATCAGGTAGATTTAGAATCCATTCTATTGCACCCAAATGTCTACTTCCAAAGTTGCCCTGCTATTTTCAGAACCATGATTCCCAGTGATTTCACTAAATGCTTTTTAAAAAATTTAATAGCCATGATACAATTAATTTTTTGAGCCACAAATCTATTTTATAAAACTCGACCTAAAATTTTCTAGTCTCAATCTCATTTGCTAACCTTTAGGTACCACACTAAAGCCTAAATGTGTAGTATTATAAAAAAATATTCAATTGAATTTAAATTAGAACAATTTTTTTTGTCTGAAGTATGTGAATTCACTGTCCAAGCTACTATAGAACTTTCTATGCTGTTAACTTGCCTGTTAATGGATATATCTAAATTTTTTTTTTCAGTTATGTTTTTATATACGTACCTACCACTATATATAGGTAAGATTATTTTGTTCCCATATAGTATCACTTTAGTACTTTATAACTTACAATTTGATTTATGGTTGAGACACATTTCAGTATGATCATAAAGCTTTGAATGTCTGACCAGTCTG